CATAGATAGTAACGTACCTCAGCATTATTGAGTATACTACCAGCAATCTCTAGTACAATCTACAAAGAGAATGACATTTATGAGGGGGATTTCCTACATTTGTGGTTAAATGTATTTGCAGGAAGCAATCTATTACTAACATAGAACTTATACAAAAACATAAAAATAAAATTAAACCAATCATACAGTAGAGTGGACAAATATTTACCTTGATGAATTGTTCACTAGGTGCTGTAGCATTGTATGATACTTCACTAATAATCAAATTCAATAGTATAACTGCTTGATTGGAAGGAATGTCATTCTGAATCAGTTCAAGTAATCCTTGAAGAGCATAAAGTGGTGATATATTTATCTAGCATTTGAAATATCAAAACACATCTATATTTAGTGTAGTGTAGTTACCCTTAATAGTATAGTGTTGAATGATTCTGTAGCAGAACAAAGTGTTTCATTCCATTTACCATCAGAATGACAGTATCTACTAGCTAGAGGAAAGAAGCATACATGAGCCTTGACACAGTTGCACTTGTTATCACTGACCATTAAATATTCCTTGGTAGCATGTGCTATGTACTATTACTCCAGCTCTTGTCTCTGGCCATTGATCCTCTTCAGGACATTGTGAAGATGGAGAAGGAGTTGGAGAAATCATCAAAGATGAAGTTAACATCATGTCAGAAGATGAAGAAGACAATAATGAGAGTGATGGCTGTATGTAAGGTGTTTCAGAGATTTCTGAGGAATCATAAAATGATGTTAAGGGAGTGGAAAATGGTGTAGTTGAGGGAGTGGGAGATGGTGTGGTCATTGAAGCAATCATGAGAGATGATGTTGTCGTGTGTAATGCCAAAGAAGTTGGCAATTCCAAAGACGAAAATAATGTATTTGAAGAGGAAACTGCTGGAGAAGGTAAACAGCATTTTGAAGAATTTGAGCAATATGGTCCAGTTGAGTTACATGATCCAGAACCGGCAAATACTTGAATTCCATTGTTACTATCAAATGCAATCTGAGTGCTTGATAATCTTTTTAGAACTTTAGTACATCTAGAAACTTTCAAAGGACCAGTATCATAGTTTTCAATTGTCATAGCACTAATTGTTGTAAAACAAAAGATACTGCTGTGATTACACTCAATCCAGTGAAAGTACAAGGTTGTCAGTCTTGAATAATCAACACTAATACTGTATTGTGTATCTATACCTGGTTGAGAACCTATGAAATAATAATAACACTAAAATTATACCAGTAGTTTATATTTTACTACCATACCATTGTAGGTCATTAAATAGTTAAAGTCTCCTCCAAGTGTTTCTACCCATAGAGTTACAACAGGATCTCCTACAACACAGTCTGCATTTGTCTGGAGATTAAACTTCAATGTAGCAGTGTCTGAGCTACCACCAGCAAAAAGAAGAAAGAAAAATAGTAAATCTACAATCAAGTAGGCCAACATTTCTCGAGTCATACACAGAAGCTGTAGCTACTATTCTAACATCGGTTGAGTAACCACAATTGGTTTATAAACAAATCTAGACTGCCACACACGCTTTGAACTCTATGGTTTCCACCACACCCATGTGGATACTAGACTAATACTACCGGTATAAAGTACATAGAGTAATGTTTGTTTAGATAAGGGTTGTATAAAATAGCAGGATTGTATAAACTGTCTGGAAGTGACGTTTGTTTGTGTTTAAATCTCTTCCTGGACCACTATGGTATTGTTTTAGTCTAGAACAGCTGATGCCTGGGTTATTTGTTAGTTTATGGCTGACCACAGACTAGGCCACATCATCACGACACAGCAACAATTAAATTAAATTCCATGATTATCCACCTTGTTTTGACACTGATTAAAACCTAAAAGTGCAAACAGTTTTTGAATAATTAACACTTTAAGCGCAAGCTAAGTGTTACCAGCAAAAATATTAAACTGACTCCAAGCATATGACTATCTAGCATAGAACTAAGAGAGGCCTACTATGTTTGCATGTATCTATTCATTGCAGCAGTGATCCGTGCACATCATCAATGGCTTCAGTTTGCATGCCACTTTTCTAAATAAACTAGCCACAGCCTATGCCCATAGCTGTAGTAAGACAATTAAATTAGTCATTATTAGTCTATGGCTTCAGGATACTACTGACAGCATATTATAGTGGGCCATTATGTATTAGCTACAATCAGTCTAGCCGTTGGCTATGTGGTCTTCTCTACTCCTCCTGTCTTCTCTTCTTGTAGTGAATGTCAGTGGTACAGCACCTAATGCCTTCTTATTATTCACTCTTTCTACAAATGAATTTTGTGCTGGAGTCCCTGTCATGAATGTCTTCTTGGATTTTGCCACAGCTAATTCCTTTTGCGAAAATAGAACATACAACAGTAAGTTTCATGTATCCATTATATCATTTAGACATTATGTACAGGTTCCACTGTTGCTTATGCTGCATCACAGCAGTATGGAATACCGTTTCATATTGCTGAAGATGACAGTGTGACATTCTATTGGATAGATTTATTTCCCTTTGATTTTTGTATGACATCAGTTAATGCATCAATCGAATATCGTATGTTTAATGAGTCAGTGCCTTTCTGTCCTGAAAAACATGATGGTTATGTGTTATCTAGTGCTGAGACAATACTAAATCGAACTATAATGTTCAGTCCTTTGAATTCAAGTGTCTGTGATGAAAGGGTAATATCCATTCCTCCATCATGTGGTGGTAGGCTGACAAGTTCGACAACAAGTTTTTCCACAGTCGTTTCATCAAATGCTGTTGTTGTTGTTCATTCTTCAGCTAATGTTCGCTTTACTGTATTTGAGACATCATCTTTTAACCTTCAGGCCTCATCTGTTCACATTCAGACCTCAGCTCTTAATTCTACTGCTGTGTCTACAGTCATTTTATCTTCTAGTGCTCACTTTACTGCCTTTCAAACTTCATCTGCTCACTCAACAGCTGTGTCTACAGTCATTTTCTCTTCTAGTGTTCACTCTATTGCCTTTCAAACTTCATCTGTTCACTCAACAGTCGTGTCTACAGCCATTCATTCTTCCTTTCAATCTTCTTCCTTTCACTCTACTGCTATCCACTCTTCAACATCTTTTGCCACTACAATAATGCCAACTAGTACACCTCAAAGTATGTATATACATGCATTGTTTTTGTCTTTTAAATTATATTTATTTGTAGATAATTATTGCTCTCCTCGAACTGATGTTAATGAGCGTGGTCAGTTTGATTGGCCGCTAACACTAGCTGGAATGACTGTTACCATATTGTGTCCTAGTGGCCCTATTGGAGCTACAGCAAGTAGACTATGTTCTACTTCTTCTGATTGGGAATCACCAGATGTGATGAGGTGTGCTACTACTGATGTTACAAATGGATTCATTGAATTATCTAAAGTATGATAATTAATAAATGCAAATACTCTTGTATTCATATGTAGGTAAACATCACAATATTCAATACTGATTTGGTTTCTGAAAATATGAGTATTCTAGTAGAAAATGCATCAATAAATTTTGCTGATCAAAACAAAAATAATATTTTAATCATAGCAAATGTAATAGAAGACATAGCAAATGTTTTTATGAGCCAAATACAAATAGCCACTCAGTCATTGTTTAATAAGGTAAGGGAGTATAATTTAGATCTATTATAGTTATTATCATTAAATCTATTATAGACTGTTAATTCTATAATTCAAACTAATGATTTGATTGAAGAATGGCCATTTGAAGTGCTTGAGCTATCATCCAATGAGTGAGATAGTAATACATTACTATATCAACTGATGCATACTTTGTATACTAACAGTATCATACAGTCGTTTGATGAATTTGTAAGAATTGGAATTAATTGGAAAACTA